TTATTTTTAATATAAATTTTTAGTGATTGCTAAAACTTTTGTTTTTTCCAACCCTTCTTGCATTTGTAATATACAGGGAACTCCCCTATTTCTACATTACCCTCTCTCAGACTGTAATAAAGCACAAGGTGTTAGCTGTGGGAGTTTTCATCAAGCTGAGTTGGTGCTGCAGCAGTCCCTGCAGCAGCGAACAGTTTCCTAATGCATAATGATATGGTGAACCTGCAACAGTGATGCTTATATTATTTAAACAGTTAATTTCAGTACATTAGCAACTTTAGAAATAAATTTAGTAAGCAGATTTTTTTTTTTTCCTCTTAGCATAAAAAGTAAAGTGTAGGTGGTACTAAAGATGATACTTTGGGTCATCATAAGAATCTTACAGCTTTTGCTTCTTTTAATAGTATGCAGGTGTAACAACTAATTACATGCTGCAGCAAGAAATATTTTGTAGTACTAAAGGTAGGAAGGGGAAGCAGTAGCAATCTGCAACAGCCTCGTCAAAGAACTCAAGTCTTGTGAAAGGTATGTAATGGCAAGTATCTGTTGAGATCTAGATTATCCTCTGGAAACCTGTGATAATGCTTCCCCCACGTTGTGCCTTTCCATTTGGCCTCTCCCTGCCCAGTAAATAAAAGGAAATGAAGGAAATGAATGAAAGGTAATGAAGGAAACTGTTTTGACTGCAGAATTTGGCCAGTGAATAGGAATACTTGTAGCTTCTCCTTGTTCCTCAAGAGTAGTTTCTAAATTTACAAAGAACCAAAATCTCAAGGTTAGATTCCAGCACAAGAATGTGATTGATTAAATGTAGCTATGGATTACAAGATCAAAGTAGATGTTTACAGTGTTGAGAGATCTGTCCCTTCAAGTAGCAATTTTCTTCCTCCACTATACAGAGCTGACCATAATAAATTGTATTTAGGTATCTGCAAACACAGGAAAAACAATCATATAATTAGCAAGTAACACTTTGTAATTAGAGATTTTTTTATATTTTATAAACTGAGCATTTTAGTTTTCCACAAATGTATCCATCCTTTGCTTTATTCTTAGAGACAAGAGTGATTCTTTACCTTCTTGGTTTCCTTGCAAAACTGACCCAAAAGTGCTTTGTTTCATAAAATGAGTATGCCAGCCAGAAATGGTAACCACAGTGCTGTCCCCAACTCAGCTGTCTGCTTAGGTTCCAAGGGCTAGATAGATGCCTAAGCAGTCCTTGCCTCTATTCCCTCCCCCTGTATGAACCAATTCCTTCTTCTAATTTCTTGATTTAAAGTGGTAGCTTTATAGGAAAAGGGGGATCCATTTCACACAGCATTTTTACCTTATACTTGACATAATTGGACATAAATCAAGGCTTGGTACAGACCCAAAGGCAGTTGCAGCCAAAATAAAGCAGAAAGGTGAAAGACTGCCCATGACGGTAAGGTGTTGAATTTCAGAAGAAACTGTCCTTGCTGTCATAACCAAAGCTCTGAAATGAACAACCAAAAGTAGTTGTAGTTGCTCATGTTTACCTGAAGAGCTGATCTAAAATAAGTAGTTGCATGCAAAATGGATTAATTTCATTTAGGAATCATACATACTAAAATAAATGAAGCAAACCTTCACAGAGGTATTTGTCATTTAACTTAAGGAATTTTTGCAAACACCTTTTTAATCTGCGTCATGTTAAGTGGATAGTGATACATTTCATTTAAGGCATAGCTGAGACCAGTGATGTAACCAGCTAAATGAGAAGGCTGTGGCTATAACAGTCTTGCTTACATCAGTGATAAGCTAAGCGTGTGTTTTTGTTCTTTTCTTGCAAACAGAAAGTGAAATCATTTGTACAAGAAGGACTCTCAATACTAAGTTACAAGGAAAGCTCTCAGGGGGGTGGAAGGGGAATATTTAAGAATGAGCACAGGTAATAAGCAACATTATATGAATTTGTTACATATGAGAAACTGCTCTCTGATGCACGCTCTTGCACTGAAAAACAAGCGCTTAAATCTTGTTTGTGTCACCTTTCAAGCTCCTTAGTGTTATGGAAAGAACTGTAAGTATTCAGCAAGATAGGAATGGTCCTAGAACAGCTGTAACTACAGTAGGAGAGGAAGCACAACCTCAGTCTTGTTCAGCCAAATGTGTAACCTGCCTTAGCAAGGGGACATGTGAAACGGCCAGGGCATGACGAAAAAGGGGTGCGATCAGTGTTTCCAAATGTGACGCAGTTACACTGTGTTGAGGTTGTGTTGTGACAGCTCAAGTGAAAAGGACAGCAAAACGAAAAACCTGAGACGCATTCTGGCTTTTCTAAGTGTTGACAGATAAATGTATTTTACATCTGATTAAATACAACCATTCTCCAGGTCCCCTCCCTGCAAATTCCCTCTTGAGAGAGAAGACCCATACCAGAAACTTAGGGCAGGTATAAGGTAAATATGGTCTAGTACCTCTTCCCAGCTCTGAACTTGCTATTACTTAAGAGACTTTCTGAACTATCATTTATTCCTTGATCTTTGCCTCTTTTAGTTCTTGATTGGAGAATGATCTGATTAACCCTGTTATAAAGCAGCTTTTACTTTCAGCATCCAAAAGTGTCCTCTATCAGGGAGCTCCACAACTTTTTTCATGCAATTACTTTATTTAGTAGTTTTACAACACAGGCTGTCCTAAATCTCAAGCTCTTATTCACCATCTGTGAATGAAATTACATGGTGACATGTTTGTGTCCAAATAATTTGTTAGCTTTGCTCTTTACTTGCTCATAAGAAATTAAGTCAACCTTTGAAAGGCAACGCATGATGCTACACAATGTTTGACCTTTGGGGAGTTCAACAAGACATCCTAAAAGAAAACTCATTCTATTGCAGCATTAAATGTTACATGCATTTTATTTACACCTCAGTTCTGTGTTTAAATATCATAGATTTAACATAATTTATAGATGGACTGCACTATCTGTCTTTATTCAGGTTAATTCAGCCCCCAATTATTTGAATACACTCTCCATATTTCTGCTTTTAGTAAGAAAAGCTATACTCTTAAGCTAGGGTTGTTTTTAATTAGTCAAGACAAAAGGAAATTTTAATAACTTGAATAGTAATGAGAAATTTATTACTATAAAGTTCATTCAAAAATTCCAAGTATGTTTTTGGAGTATCTCTCTTACCTGCACCATCCAGGCAGTCACTTGAGGCTTCCCCCTATGCTCTGCAAATGCAGAATTTGTAATACTCCAAATCTGTAGAAGGGGTGAGAGACTTAATGCCTTCTTATATCTAAGGGAACTTGAATTCACCCTTTCTTCCTTCCATGCAAGTACCCTGAATATTAATCTATATTAAAGGAGAAAATAAGCTGTATTTTTCTTGTGGAACTAAAGAAAGACAAGAGAGGACTTGAAGATGAGAAGATTCATTTAAGAGAAAGGAAGGATGGTTTTAGTTTCTATTCCAAGGACTGTTTGTTTTTTGAAAGCAGCTTTTGGGGGAAAAACTGCAGTAATCTTCATCCCAATTTGGCAGCTTCCCTTTCTTATTCCAGGTGTGGGCTACAGTAACATTAATGGCCTATGTTGGAGGGGGTTACGCATGCTGCCACAGAAGTCTAGTCTTTTGTCTACAAACCTGAACAGGTTGCAGATCTTAAAACTAAACACCTCAAGAACCACAAATGCAGAGCAAGATGTAACAGGACCTAAATAAATTCCTTGTATGTATTTTACCTTTCTCTACCCTGAACAAATACACTAAACAGCTGAAAATAGTCACTGGTATAAATCCAACAGGTACCACCCAGGCACCAGAACCAAAGTCTATGGAAAGACCCAGTCAGCTATGTGTATCTGATATTCTGCAAGATTAAACTCTTCCACTGCCTCATAGCGACATATTCTGTGCCACTTCAGGCATTAGCTTGAGATGCCTCTGCTACAAGCATAATAGACCTAGGACTTTCCTGTAGGTAACAGAAGCAAGTTTCTGCAGAGGGATTCTGACAGCTAGGAATTTGGAAAGCTGGAATAACTATACACCTAATTTCAGCAGTGCAGACAGTTGTTGTCTGTGCTCAGGCAGGATAAATTTTAGTTTAGGTTCTTCAGTTGTGGATTACAGTGTGGAAGAAGTTGCATGAAGTCAATGATTAGGCTTAACGTAAGGGCCTACATCCTTACTCAAAAGTTTTCCTTTGTATTGTTCCAAATTCTCAGCTATTTGCAATGTACTTCCTTCTGTCTCATGTGAATTATGTTCAAATTGGCTCTGGAGGAAGCTGAGTTTTCTTCCAAAGCCATGTCAAATAGATAATACTTGAGTGATTTCAACTTCAAGAGCAGCCAGAGACTGGACCAACAAGTTCTGCAGGTTGCCTCTGCTCAGCAAAGTGAAGAAGCCTGTGCAACAGCAACAGCCACCCACAGGGGAGGGTAGGGGGAACAGGCTCCACCCCACCAGATCAGGTCCTCTGATACATAATCTAGAGGATAATAAGAAAACATGGTCCTAAAAACTGAAACATACACAAGTAAAGGTAGTTCCTCAATGAAGCACACTTTGAGTAAAAAAAAAAAATTCTTACTATATTCAGTAAGAATTTTTTACTCAACTTTTCTGTCAGCAAGGAATAGTTTTCTGTCCATGATTATTTCAGCAATACTGATTTTTTTTTTTTTACACTAATGGAGCTCCTGTCATATTACAGCTGGCCCCAATAAAAATTCTTACTTTCTTTCCTTAGTTTACCCCTTAACTTGTTCCACTCAGCAATCTAGTTAGATGTCCTTAAAAAAAAAAAAAAAAAAAAAAAAAAAAAGGAAGAGACTACAGAGCACGTTATCTTATTCTAATTTATAGAATGCAACACATGGCACATTACATTATTCCTTTCCAAAAGGACTGCTTAATAAAAAAAATGAAAACAGCACCTATCTTAAAATGTATTCAAGTGAATATTTTCATAGGTAAATTTTTGCACTGCAAATTAATACAGCAGAAGAGAGATACATTATTTTTAAAATTCTTTTTCCTGTGAAATCCAAGTTGCTGCTTATTCATGAACTGTTGGAATAAAGCTAACCATCCTTTAATACTCAAATCTGTTATAAGACAGTGCTTGTCAAGAGGTCCAACTACTTCTTAATTGAATTTTTCACTTTAGTTTGGTAACCTACAGGGCACAATTAGGTATTGTGAAGAAGCTACAACTAATATGGCTTTCCTATGTTGATAGCATCATGAAGTTTCACACAGGCACTCTTGACAACTGAGGGTTACAATCCTTCAGATACATTAAGTAATACATCTTTGCACACATAGATTACATATCAAATTATTGCCGTAGCACAAACCTGTTCCATTTTGTATCTTATACAGGACAATTAGGACATATCTGTGCTACGTTATGAAACAGACAGCTACCCAAACCAAGTAGACAGGTTTTACTTAATACCACTAAACTTGAAGGTAGCCTCTCTCAACCATATCTAATAATACAACTCGGTATTCGAGTACATACTGACTAGGAATGCATTGTAATATTTATGTAAGAAACAGGACGGACCTAAATACCAATCGGTACAAAGATTTTCTGTGCCTTTCCACAGAAGCTGAATTGCAGTGCTGGAATGACACTTTGCTGTTGTCTTAGATTATTCAGTCATCAGCAAAATTACATCAAAAGACTTACTTAAAATTCACAGTCAAGATGATAAAGGAAGTTTTTCCAACAGTACTAATTTTGGTTTCAAGTTTAAAGTAAAAGGAGGTAGTGCAGTAAGGTTCAACCCAATTTTACTGATGCCAGGTATATTTGCCAGTGGCCTGTGGGTTGTCTTGTAATGTAATATTTGAAGAGGGTTTGTTTCCATCAGTAAATGTGTGTAAGAGAACATCAACTGGTCTCCTGGTTTAACATCTTCTCTTTTGTCATACCTGTAAAGAATAAAGAAGGCTTATTTACATTCCTCTCTCTACATATTCAACATCTCCATTATTGTAAGGGCATGTAGCATCCAAGGTGAAACACAAAAAGAACTGTAAAATAGTTATTTTTGAAGAGTTTAGGGAGCCAGTCATTCTACGCTATTAGAAAGTCACGTTCTATTAGGGAGTCAGTCTTTCTGCTGCTATTGTGATATAAATCAGGACTACTAGAAAATTTGTCACTAGTCCTCTATTTGAATTCTGTGGAGACAGGACACCGAAGCCTAAGACTGGAGAAAACTGGACTTATTTTTAAGTTTTACTCTACAAGAATTGCAGTTTGGTTAAGTGTGGGATTTGGGTGGGGTTTTTTTGTTGTTTTTTAATTTTTAAAAAAAGTATGAGGCATTTTGGCAGAAGCCTTTCTCTTCTGGTAGTCATACATTAAAGTAGGAGCCTTGGAGAGCAGCAGGGAGAAGACTTCCTTGAACACCTTAGGAAAGAAAGAACAGCCTGGCAATTATTATAGTATTAACTTGGCACTTGTTATTCCTGGGTTCAGTTCCCTGATCTACTACATGTTTGGGCAGGTCACTTTGGCTCAGCTTTTATAAACCTGTTTAGATACTTAAGTATATATAAATTATAGAAGATTATATAAAAAGTTACTAGTGAGTTCTGAAGCTGTTTAACATGTACACTTGCAGTTATTTCTTAAAAGGAGTTATATTCAATCTAGCTATAGAGGGAATTTGCAGGGTAAGAAAACAGATGACAAGCATTTGGCAGGGATGTGAAAGATCTAGTAGGTTCAGCCACTCTCCATCTGATCTAAGCCCAGAACTGAAGTTTGTTATCTCACAGAGCTATATGAACCTCTAATTTTCTAGAAATTGAGATAGATCTCCCTCACTGTCTCATGAAAACACTAAACTACATGGTAGTTATTAATTCACTGGAGAGTTGGGGGAATTTATAGCCCAAGGGTTAGGATGCTTGTGTTGGACATGGCAGCCTGATCAAGTCCTCAGTCCAACAACTTCAAAGGGGAAGAATAAGGTAAGTCCACCCCGAAACACTCTCTAGACCACTGTTAAGTGTGCTTCCAGAAGTGGAAGACCTAGACTCAGATCTTTGCTCTATATCCCAGAAAACACATTCTACACTAATGCTGGGAAACAGTGCCGAAAACAGAGGTTAAGATGGAGGTTTCTTACCTTGAGTTTGTTTATGACAAGACAGTCTTGGGCATCTAACTATTAAAAAGTGTCCATGCCCTGAAACCCAAGAGAAGAGCAGTGCCCAGTTCTTCACCCTTTCTGTTGCCCTTCACTGTGAACTGTTTTCTAACAGCTTTTGAAGCTCCTGTTCTTAGGCACCTGACACCTCCCATGCAAACCTTACTCAAGGCTATAGCTTTTCTTACAGGCATGGACACTGGTAGGGAAGTGGTGCAATCCCAACCCTACATACTCTTCAACACACCTAGGAGTAAATCCAGGCTGCATGTTTTGCCATATGTGTCTTCGCAGGCCTGGCCTCTCATCTGCCCAAATTCTCCGTGAAAAACTAGAAACAATCTCAATTTTTATTTTTACAATACTCCCTTGACACAGCAGTCATTAACATTTAAGATATTTAAAGCAAGTACTCCACAGCAAACTAGAGGATTTTTGTAGATTGTTAACTAAAGATTTTGGTAACACAGAAGAGACCCCAGGCTGACAGAATCCAGGAGTATCAATAAATACTCCATATAATGCAGAATTAGACTTTACACACTGAACAAATGCTTTCTTCTTCTAAAAAAATTGCACAATAATTTCATCTGCTATTTCCAAAAATATCAGAATACCACTTAGGATGGTACATGCGTCCAAACTGGCAGAAGGAATGGCATACTTCATAACAACTTTACCAACTACTAATTTTGCAGTTTCTTCATCAGCAAATAAAGGGCCTTTCATCTGGCTGCAAGCATTTCTGAATTTTATTATTTTTGAATACTTTATGCTTGCACAGCATATTTATTCCTGGTTCAAAGAGACTGCACTAATTGAAGACAAGATTGTAACACCTGTCCTGTGTAAGAATTTGCATCAAGCTTCTTTCAATCACCCTTTGAAGGAAAATAATGGATCACTGGCATTTTTTCTTGAGGCAAATAGATCTAATCTAAGCACGCCACCGAAAGCTGTTAACTTCAGGAAACTTTTATTTATGGATTGTAGTTGTCATGATGAATCATCAGCCTTCATAACCACTCCATAAATTTGTTTCACCTGATGTACACAGTCTATGAAGATGGTAAATTAGTTTTTACCCATCTGAAAGGCCGTCACTTCCTTGGGTAAAGAGAAAATGAACAGCTGGTGCCACTAAACTTTGCACTATTGTGCTGTCAGACAAAGTGGTAGTCCTGTGTATGATGCTCAGTTGTGGATTTCACCTATTTTTTTAAATGTGAAACTTTAAGATGAATCAGCCCTCCCCTGAGGCTTTTGCATGATGAGTAAAGATACAAGTGAGAGAGACAAACTGCTCTGTAGCTGCAACACTATGAAACATCCATCAGTGACAAGGATATTATTTGTTCACCTTCTAATCCCACTACACTACAGACTTGCAAGCCCAAAACAATCTAAAACCCACCACCTCAAAAAGCTCATTGAAATTAAGCACTGCCTTAAAGAGTAGAGTTGTATTCAGAGTAGTGTGTGTACTTAAGTATATTAAAAAAAACAAAGATTGGAGCATTTTAACTATCATGCATATCATACTCTAATAATTTAATGTCTCCTCCTGACTATTCATAACTTAACACTTTCTCTTGATTGAACATGCAAAAACCAATCTGAAGTTTTTGCATTGGTACAATGAAGACAATTAATCTTTAAATTATCTGTACCATCACAATATTATGAGAAAGCATGGAAATAAAGTAAGGCATAGCAAGCTCGATGATTTTTATAATTCCCCCAGAAGCACACCTTTCCCTTCTTCCTCTTTACTTCCAAAATAGTATCTCTATTTTACCTCTAAATATAGCAGTAATTAAATTATGTTTGTTCATCTGATCCTGAAGACTGTAACTGGAGAATAAGAACTCCATGCTCAGAGTTCTTCTTAAACCATAATCTGCTTGTACTGCTTTTTTTGGTGCAAGAATGAAGTGAGGCTCTGTGTCACTTTCTGCTGAATTGTTTTCATTAAGATGACATTTTAAATTAGAAACCTACACTTCAGCTGAAGAGGTAGGCCTAAAAATCAGAAAGGTACCTTTTTTTTTTTTGTCTGCATCTTGAAAAGCAAACAATGCCATCCCACAAATGTCTCCTACTATTCATTTCAATATCTGATTCTTAAAACTGTTTGTACAGCACCACTGGTCATGGTAACAAAGCAGTCAACTGCTTTCTCTCAGAGCTAATAAATGTGACCGATAGTCCACAAGTCTACAAAAGCAGTTTCAATGCCATTTTTGTGAAGAATGTTCTACATAAAAATACACTTTGAATATTAATATGCAGATAAGCCTCACACTGCCACATATCATTCAAAAACAAACAAAATGAGAAGATACCCCTATAATTACATACACTGTTCTGCCAAGGGCAGAAAAGTGTTCCTTTACAGCTGTGTTTTACGAGATCTAGTGAGATATCAAATGTAGCTGCATTAAAGGTACTGGCGTTTTAGTAAGCCAACAATTTTTTGCACTGTTTCTGATGTCTTTAAAAGATTCTATGCTATTTAGGCAAACTATAACTAACAAAACCAGTTAAAAAATATTGCAGTACTTTATTTCTGAAATGGCAGCACTGCATATATGAAAATTCTCTGAAGATTCACATTGTTCTTGACCTGGCTTAATAAATATGCTGTACCAGAAACCACATCCGTGATGCTTGCCCCTGTGCATATACAAAATAGGAAAAAGCAGGCTCCTGTCTTCAGATCAGAATACCTTGTTCATAACATACCTCCAATCTGAATTGATTTCTAAAAACCGAGAAACTCCTGTTTGTGCTGCAGCTGCATCAATATGAACAGAGACGTCTACATAAATAAAGAAAACAAAACACAGTTACAAAATTCTTCTAAGAACACTCTGAGTAACAAATTAACAAAATAGTAACAGAAAAGATGCATGTAAATATTGTGAAGAAGTAATATCCAATACACATAAAAATTTACTAGCAAAAAAACCCTGCAATTGAAATTAGACAAACATACCTCAAACCAGCTTTACGTACCTGCTGTTGAGGGTACCAACTCATGCAACTTCTGAATTGCCACTCCTCCAGGGTAATTGAAATGTGAAATATATAAAGATGTTCCTGAATAAGCAGCATTAACTAGGAGATGCATTATAACAAAGAAAGATCCAAGTTTGTACAGCCAGGATTTCCGGTAGTTATTGAGACTGTTGAGGGAGGAAAAAATGAGAGAGAATAAACTGTTACTTTTCTTTCATTCTGGTCATTGAGTATCGTGATAAAACTTTCATGAAAACTTCACTGCTAGATAATAAAGATTAATGCAAACTTTATTACAATCCTGTGTATGGAATGCATGTATTATCCATTTATAAAATACTATCTTCTAGTGACATTTAAGTTATAATTTTCTCATTAAAAGCTAACAGAAGCTTATTGATAAAGCTAAGTAGTTCTATGTTTAAAACCTTTAGCTATGAATGTATTATCTTTCAAAGAAGTTCAGAGTTTAACTTCAATTTCTTTACTCAATATACCTAAGTTTAACTATTAATACAAATTCCACTTTTATATTAAAATAACTCCTCACTTAAGTTATATTAACAACACAGCAGTACACTTTTTATCTGGTGGATAAAATAAACTGAATTGTAACAGCTAACAGTAGAAACAGGGCTCTACTCTCAACTCTGCCCCAGACTTGCCAAATAGTCCTGTCAAATAATTTAACTTTTCTTTGTCTCCATTTCCCTCACTGGTCAAATGGGTACAATAATACATATTTCTAAACCATATGAAGATCTAAAGATGATCCAAATTCCAAGATGGAAAGAAGTACATAAATATAGTAATAATAGTTTTGCTTTTCTTTTGCATTTTCAGAGAAAAAAAAGAAGTACAAGTTTGCACTTACATTCGTGAGCACATTTTAGCAGCCACTATGTTGAAGACAGGGAAAGTATATATGATAAAACGCAGCTCTTTGTGTGGGAGAAACGAATACAAGAAAATAAAGCCCAGTGCTGGCAAAAGTAATATCCGAGTTCTCTTTTCTGCTACACCTAAAGGTACAAATATAATGCTGCATCCCAAAGCACGAGGCAGGGCTGAATAGAAATACCACAAAAAGGGGGAGGTCTTCAAGGTGAAAAGGAGAGTTAAGGATGCTAGCACTGCTAACAAGTACAGTAACTATTCTTTACAGTAGTGCACACAAATTTTGCAAATATGCAGTATACTTTTTGTATATGATGTTCTTCCAAGGCATTTGTTTTCCTGCCTTACCCTTTAAGAAATAAAAGTTGTCTAACTACATTCACATTACCCAACGGAGACACATCAAATGGTGCTAATGATGGGCGACATGAAAAACCAAGGGAAAGAAACCTGGTTTTACATTGGTAGAACACAAAGAAGCAAGAAGGAACAGTCAGCAGAGGGAAGTTAAAATTTACAGAAAGATATAAGAAACAGACATCTCATAAGCATCAAATAATTAAATACTAGATGAAAAGTAGAATTTAACATCACAGCTGAGTCTCAGGAATAGGTTACAGCAAGTCTTTGCTTTGGCTAGTAGTGTTCAATAGATCTTTTTTCCTGGACATTTCAAAGGATACTCCCCAGTTGGAACTTTTGTTTAAAACTGTGTTATACCAGAGCACTTTCCCCTCAGGCCACACAAGCTGCCTCCAAAACAGAGAATCCACAGTAACGGTCAGCCCTGAAAGAATTAAAGAAATACAAATCTGCGTGAATTAAAAACTAGGGAAAAGCAAACTAGCAGAGCCAAACTGCACATTTACTGATGAGATCAACATAAACTGGAACATGCACTGTAAGCCTCACCCAAAGCCACAGAGAAGGCTGAATCTGTCTGTCTTGCAGCGGAAATGCAGGGGAGGAAGGCACTTCTTAATACAAGTCTTAACAGAAGCGTGTTAGATAGGAATCTGATTGAGATTTGCCCCACTCCAACCCCAGGTGTGAAAAACAGTGGTTTAATTAAAGTTTGTTTTAAGAGAGTACTAGAGCATTAAATGTAATGAATGGTAAGAAACCCAGGTGAACTTCAAATGATACTAAATAGATTTTTAATGTAAAATTGATAAGAAAAAGAATCTCTAGAAGTTTGCTACCATTTATTAGGTGAAAGGGAAGAAGGAGGATAAGGGACGAAAGGCAAAAAGACAGGAAGAGCAGCAAATCCATCAGCCTCATCTCCTCTACTCAGCTCTATGAAAATTGATATTTTAAGAAGTTTGGCTAGAGAGGGAATGGGATTAACAGTGACTAATTCCCACTGGGCCTCCAAACTCTTATGCTGTAAGATGCCTCCAAATGCACGTCATGATCTTTTGCTGTCTCTACTGTCCACACTGTGGAAGGGATAGCACACTACCAGAGGTCACCATCAGGCATCTGACAACAGCATTTTTAATTAGGTAGGCTGGCAGAGAAGCTTAAAGTATTATTTACATGCATATGCATGAGCCTTCCATCGATGGGTAAACAGAAAGGGATTTTTCAACCTCTCTAGCATGGATAATCACTTAAGCTATTAAAATTAATGTAATAGAGAAACAGAGCTGAACTGTGGCTCTCCCCATAACCCTCTTGCTCAGTATCCCTGTCTGTCACACTGTTGTATTTTATCCTGAGATTCAGCTTATTGCCATGATATTAGATACTAAAACTGGTAATGTACATGTAGCTACAGACAGGTACTAATTATACAAAAGTCAACTTGCACATCTAAGCCTTTTTAAGATCAGGACATTGTACTGTAAGCATCTAAAGGTGGGGGTCACAGTATCTTTCTGCTGCTCTGTGCTCTCCTATTTCCTCACACGGAAATTTTCAAAGAAATAAATAACCTTGTCATATTACTAGCAAATAAGATCAGACAAAAAACAAAAGAAAAGGGCCAGGTCACCAGAGATGTCAGTCAAATCTCCAGACTATGTGGCATTTGTTCTTTCCAAGCAAACACTCACCCAACCAAAAAATTCCAGCAGGAACGGCATGAGAAAGCACCTTGAAAATGGAGATTCTTTTAGTTAATAACGTCACCAGGAGCATGAGGCCTAAGAATATGCAGAGCTCTGATCTGAAGACTATAATTGCCAAAGCTGAGAACCAAATGAATGGCCTTTGCTTTTGCTGTATCCAAAATGTCAACGCCAGGAGCACTGTAAAAATAAGTAAAATACACCATGCGACATGCTGAACTACTATTTTTCTAAAGGGCAACACTTTTCTTAATGCTAGCATCTTGTTCCTCTAACTTTCCACCAATCCTCTCTTCATCTTCATGACAGCAACCCATTTCAAATATGAAAACGAGTCTATAGAGTGTATCGCTCAGGGAGGAAGAACTATAAATCCATTTGTGAGGTTAGCTGGAGACACACCACTATCTCTATGGATGAAGATGCCTCTGCTTTTTAGAGTTTAAAATCACATGGTAACACTGACTACATAGTAAAGTGGCCACGATCCTAAGGAGGATGTGTGAAATAGTACAAAACCATGAAACAACTTGTAATTTTGAACACCTGCAGAAGTGATCCGAGAAGTTTATCAGTACACCGTGTTTCTTTGTTTTGTTATTCAGTTCTGATCTACACAGGTTCTTACACCAACCTTATGATTTTATTAGTTGAACAACTTGCACTGAAGCATTAAGTGACTCAGCTAATATCTGTCACATGTGGTTAATCTTCCCTCTCATCATCTCTGGGGAAAAACTGTATCTGTAGAGTCAATTCTTGACTTTGATTTTTTTTTTTTTTTAAACTTTTTTAACACTCTAAGTGTACAAACTGCTACATTTGTAAGCAGCTCCGAAAGAGGAAGGTGGAGATGTTGCAGTGGGAATTTGTGCCACAGTCTCATGAGAAAGCTGTTTGCTGTGTAGACTAAATTCACAGATTTATTTTTTTTTAACTGCAGGGGTTACCACTGCCTCTTCAATAGCTCTATGTTTATGCATCAGATATGTGTAGTCAAACCTCTAGTTAATCAAAGCCATCTGACAAACTCCACATATATTCAGACTCAATAAAACTTGATTCAGCTGTCATTGTAAGCATACCCCCCCCCCCCAAAAATAAAAAAACAAAACATAACTGCTTAAGTTTTCTAGTCTTGTTATCACACAACTGAATCAAGCATATATATTAATTTGGTCTGACCACACATTTTCTGTGCTTTAACTATTGATAACCTGAGAAGAATTTTTATATTTTAAAATTATTCCTGTGCAAGTACTTACCAAAAGGAAGTGCAAACACATTAGGGAGGGTTCGGGTACAGTAAAACATCAAATGAAACTGAGTAACAGTGATGAGACAGAAGATTGTTGATGTAGTTGCTCCAAACTGCTTTCTAACTTCTTTCTGCAGCTTCCATAATGTGTAAATGACACTGAGCCCCAAGCTTCCTCGGACTATTAGAAAAAGAAAAATGGGAAGTAAGAGTAATATCAGACAGATCATTGACAAACAACCATGTTACATAATGTAATAGGAAGAAGTTATGAAGAAAAATACTGAAGATATCACAATATAACCCACTTCAAAGAAAAAAAAAAACACATCAAAACTTCCCCATTAGTTTATCTATTTTAATCCACCTTTTACTTGTCTGATACTTTTGCACAAAGATCAATGTTTCTATGCCCAAGTTAAACAGTATTTTCTTAAGTGTACATGGAAGTCCATACAGGAGTGTATTCTCTGAAGACCCTTGCTTTTTCTACACTGACATTTGTTAGCATAGACTTCCTCTGTGCTGTTAGCTATCCCAAAGAGGAGATGGAATTGCCATGCTGGCTCTAAGCATCTACAGTTTGCAAAATCCCTCATTGAGGAAAAGAATATCACATTTTAACCATTGATTCAAACACTGAATGTTACAACAATGTCATCCATTAGTCCAGTAGAAAAAGCAACTCTATTCTGACTATTTCAAGTTCTCATACCTATCAGCTGGGAGTAAAACTTGGACATTCTTAGCACAGAAAGTACATATATAGCTGGGCTGGAAAGAGCAGCAATAAAAATTGGTCCAAGGAACGTTCTTGGGACAACTCCAGGAAATTCATGATGGTCATACTGCAAAGAGGAAAATCTAAGTAAGACAGGCAAATCAGAAACAAAAGTGGGATAAATCATATTCACATTGCATTTATCCTATTCGCATAACAAGGAATTGTGATCTTTAACAGTGTCCAAGAAAGAACACTTTCTTTCCTATTTACCTTATCCAAGTCCAGTTGGTGGTACACCACATCATGGATAGCTTGTAGGTTAAAGCTTTCCTCTACTTTTGTAAAAGGACAGACAGTTAAATGAACAAAGGCCACAGCAATAATCAGCAGCAGCAATGGGAATGACCGCCCACTTGAGCTCCTCTTCTGAGCCATCTTGGGTTTGAAATTCACATATATTCTACTATTATTAAAAAGAAAATTAAAAGAAAATACATTAATAACATGGCATACAGTGTACAAACAGAAAAAGAGAAATTAATAATGCAAGGAAAACGTCCTAAAGTAGTGTAAAAGTTTAAACAAAGACTAATAAATCTAATAATTAATAGTTTTTTTAATACATTCAATGAATCAAGTAGACAGCCAAAACACATTCAGGCAGCATTTCAGGATTGATGCCACCTTCTTTAAATGCAAAGACTTTTAGTTTTCACCAAAAGAACTCAGATAACATAGACCCTACTAAAGGAAGTATTTCCCTTTGCGTTCCATACTGCCACCACTGCAGAGTGCTACAAAATGCCTGCATTTTGTGGGAGAAACAGCCCGCTCCTGGTATCTTTAGCTGATCACCACATGAATAATCAGTCCTCAACTTCCTAAATCATCTGAATGACAGTGAAGCTACATATCCCTTACACAGTTTATCACAAGGATTCTTTTTATCTTGTTGCCTCCCATTCTTCTGTATGCCTGTAGAACTTAAGCTTGCCAGCATACTCATACATTTTGAAGATAATTATACGCATTATACATACCAATTCCCTGAAGGGAAACATGCTAGAAGACAAAAAAAAAGTATGAAGACAACACCTAGGTTTCTGAGATAAGGCCTAATAAATTTAGTGGTCTTGTCAAGACTCAAGATAACTTGCTCTGTCAAAAAATTGATGTTGACAAGGAGAATTTATCAAGACAGGTAGAAACTGAACTTGATGTTTAAAATAAATTTGCTGTATAAAGGCAAAATATTTGCCATTACAGCTGTAATGTAATGCTTAAATGCCAAAACCACAGAAACAGATTTTCACTTAAAAATATTTTAATAATGAAGGTTAGTGGAATATCATAAACGTATACGAGTAGTTTTATCTATCATTAGCATTCTAGTAACTTTAGAAGAATCTTCCTCAGACTTGTATAACACAGCTACATTGACTCCCCCAGATGTCTACATCACAACTGAATCAGAGAAGAGCAGAGATTTTTCAATACAAAGAATTTATCACTTCCTGGGATTAAACTAGATGAAAATAAATTGTTTCCTTACATTAAAAAGGCTGAAGCACTTTAATAAGAAATAGTTTATTATTTTTGTATGATTTTTCTATACACTGTGGAAGTGTCATTAGTTCCAATAATTGACTTTTTACTCTTCCCATGAAAAATCTACCAAATTTAGCTGACTTATGTTCTTCAGACACTCTTTAGTATAAATGTGTTAAGAGTTTGGCAGTCAAACTGCATGCTGAATCTGTCTACAGAGACTGTGTCTGCCTCCCTCACACACTCTGTATGGAGGCATCTAAGCAGAACCACCAAGAGCATCCACCATAAGGTCCTCCCTCCCTCCCTGGCTTGATCTGGCTTTGGGAAACCCTATATTGTATTATCTTTGATTTTCATGGGTTTGTTTTTTTTTCCGACAGCAACTCTCCCAACTTTGCTCTAAAGCTAAATTCTGAATGAGGTCAAATGTAAACCCTGTAGCTGCCGGGATTGCTTTTTCTTCTCTCCTAAGAGGGAACACGGCAGTTGCTATTTTTATACACATTTCCTCATCAGTTTGGGCACTGGCTAAACAGAAAAATTAAGGCAAAAAAGGAGTAAGTTGAGGCAAGAAATGAAGTCTGGGACAGCACCAGCTAT